ACCAAATTTTGCTTGAACAAAAGAACTAAATGAAAATACAAACAAAAACACCAAATTTTGGTTGAAAGTCTGGCAGAACTGGGCTTTGGCGAGAGAATATGATGTTGACATTGAGAAGTACGTATTCAGTTTTGTCATGCTAATACTAAACAAGTAATCATGCGATGTTGCTCGTACAATTAGGGATTAATAGTACTCGTGATGTTTCGAAATTTGCCAAATTGGACTCGCCCCGGCGGCTCGTCCAATTTTGGCAAAATGTCCAAACATCACTCGTACTATTAATCCCTAATTGTACTCGCTATCGCATGATTACCTATACTAATCTAGTATTATCATTTATCACTGTTTGAGGTAACTTATAATGTGTCTGGTTAAGTTTCCTGGTTAATTTAACCATAGTGCTGGTTAATTTAACCAGGATTAATTAATTTGACCAGCAGACCAGGCTATATGGTTGAATTTTAAAAGAGGAGAATCTTAGTTTTGTATGTCACGTAATACGTGATAACGTGATCAAAACTAATGAATATGCTAGATACGTTTCTCAAGCGGCAAACAAACTTAAAAAGTATGTTTGATGCTTTATCTGTAAATTTATGCTAAAATGAAGAGGTTTTAGATGGGTACGCCAAAGAGAAAATGATGTCTGAAGTTGAGTAAGTTTTGCTTATATTGCTGTATAAGTATGGCGTCAATTTTACAGTATTAATGATAATTGCATGTATTTAAATTGACAATTTTTTACTATTACTGTATTTTATGTTTCTCAACCGCCAGATACATTTAAAAAGATTGCCAACTGTGTAAACTACAAAATAAAGCTAAAACAAAGTAATTTTGAGAGGAACGCCAAAAAGATTTTAGGTTTTGAACACTTTGCATGGCAAATACGCGACATTGAAAAAAATTACCTCGTAACAAGATTATGTTTTGTGGACTATTAAGCAACAATTCCTGGTTAATGGTCCACCATACCTAACATAAATAAATCTTGGTAAAATAACCAGGAATCCTGGTTAAATTATCCACGATAGTAATCAAATTTTATAGAGTACATGTAGTAAGACAAAATTGGATTTTGAAGTCGCTAAATTTTGGCCACAGTGACCATATGCAAAAGCAATTAGCAAATAAAACAAAAATTTGAAATGTTGTTATAAGCAGCTATATCCAGGAAGTTTAATCTTTACGTTCAATTTACCCCATTGTTACAACAATTGATTATAAAAGTAACATGCTATAGATTTACATAGGCATAGAAAATTCCTACTATATAAACACGGAAATAAAACTTATTAAAAACTCATTAATAATTCATGAAGAAAACACAAAGAAAAATCATAAGCGTGTCGTATCTGTATATGTGATACAGATTCATGTTGATTTACATAAACTTTAACTTTGATTTTCTCGGCTTAGACAACGTTTATTTTTAAAATTACTTCGCCAATGAACTCATAAGATGAGTCGTTTTTTAAGCCATTCGCGTCAGTGTTGTATCGGATATACAAACTCTCGCCGTCGGCTCGAGTTTGTATATCCGATACAACACGGCCGCTCATGTTGTAAATAGTACTTAAAAATTACTTAATTAAAAGTGAAACTTTATGTCATTTGAAATCAAATATTGCTAAGCTAGTCATTGTGCATACACTATAAAGGGCATATATAATTTCAAGTTCACCATTGAATCAATACAGTTCGTGCAGTGATATTAAAGTATCAGTTTCTATATGGGTAATAGTTGACAGATTTTATATTGGACAAAGTTCACAAGCCATTATTAGTGCAGTATATTCAAATCAAATCAATGTTCACAAGACGCAACAGTGTGGTATTTTCAGTTCTGGACAGGTGGAGGGATGAGGGTAGCATTTGCGAGAGGGGTTGCGTTCCCTGTTGATGGTAAAGGTATTTCATTTTCACGAGCAACAAGACGTAGGTTTAGGGTCACGGCCAGCGACGGGTCAGTTGGAAAGCTTTTCCCGCTTCCAAATTTCTGATCACTGTCGTCTTCCAACGTTGTTGCTCCAGCTCTCCACTCAACATTTTTCTTAGGAGATGCATTTTTTTTAATGCTGCTGCCAAGACCTGTGTAGAATACTCCTCCAATTCCACCAACATTCACGTCAACACGCGATCCATCATGGATACCATAATCAATAAGTTTTGCCCCTCTTTTCCCCAAAGGTTTCCATTTATTGAT